AATTATTATAATTATTATAATTAATTATTATAATTATTTATTATAATTATTATAATTATTTATTATAATTATTTATTATAATTATTTATTATAATTATTTATTATAATTATTTATAATAATCATTTATTATAATTATTTATTATTATTATTATAATCATTTATTACAATCATTTATTATAATTATTTATTATTATTATTATTATTATTATTATTATTATTATTATTATCATTTATTACAATCATTTATTATTATTATTATCATTTATTATTATTATTATTATTGCTGGTTTCTTAGATTTACTTCTTGTTTCTGGCAAAACGTTTCTCATTGGGGAAAAGGGTTTCACTTAATGGCTGCTGCATTTGCTTAACAATTGCTTCACCTGAATGACCGCGACTACTTACGACAATACAGGTTCTCCTTTGATGTAGGACCACAAAGTGAGACATTGGTGAAGTGAGTTTTGCCCCATTTCCCAACCTTTCTTTCCGCAGTTGTTAAGTGAATCAACGCAGATGGTAGGATACTAACCCGGTTATACAATACAACAGCAGAGTTGGAAGGGACCTTGGAGGTCTTCTAGTCCAACCCCCCGCCTAGGCAGGAAACCTTCTACCGTCCCAGACAAATGGCTAGCCAAACGGTTGTTAAATGAATCTGGCTTCCCCATTGGCTTTGCTCGTCAGAAGTTTGCAAAAGGGGATCTCACCGTCATAAGTAGGAATCAGTTGCCAAGCGTTCTGAATTTTGACCCCACGATCAGGAGGCTGGGTCAAAGGTGGCAACTGGTACCATAATGACTCTGAACGGTCACTAAATGAACCGTTGTAAGTGGGGGACTACCTGTGTATTCAATTAAAAAGCTGCAAGTATTTGAAGCTGCCGTCGCGACCCGTCTCTGCTCTAAGTGAGTGGAAATTGCTTCTAAGCTGGCTGGCTTTCATTCTCCTTTAATGGGTATAAAGGCAACTCCTCAGAGCCCAGAAGACGGAAAATATTCTATTTTAACGGTTTGGGGCCGACCCCCGAGGACAGGAATGGCTAACCTTTTTTTGCATCACATGCCGAAAATGCGGGTATGTCACAGCGCATGCGCACTCATAATGCAATGCTCCCCCACAGTGTGCCCTGCCCCTCCCTGCATGCACCCTGCTCCCTCTCACTCATTTCTTGCTTCCCGAATGGGGCAGGAGGCTTTCCAGGCCCAAATTGGGGTGCGGGGGGGGGGCTCGTGTGCACCCCATTTTGAGCCTGGAAGGCCTCCTGAAACAATCTGGAAACCAAAATGGGGTGCGGGGGGGCCCACCCCCCACCCCGTGCCCCATTTTGGGCCTGGAAGTCCTCCTGCACCAACCTGGAAGCCAAAACGAGGCACAGGTGGGCCACCCCCCTGCCCCATTTTGGGGCTGGAAGGCCTCCTACACCAACCTGGAAGCCAAAACGAGGCACAGATGGGCCACCCCCACCCCATACCCCGTTTTGGGCCTGGAGGTCCTCCTGCACCAACCTGGAAGCCAAAACGAGGCACAGGTGGGCCACCCCCACCCCGTGCCCCATTTTGGGGCTGGAAGGCCTCCTGCACCAACCTGGAAGCCAAAACAGGGCACAGGTGGGCCAGCCCCACCCCATACCCCATTTTGGGCCTGGAAGTCCTCCTGCACCAACCTGGAAGCCAAAACGAGGCACAGGTGGGCCACCCCCACCCTGTACCCTGTTTTGGGCCTGGAAGGCCTCCTGCACCAACCTGGAAGCCAAAACAGGATGTGAGGGGGGCACTGTGCGGGGCCCCAAAATGCAACACGAGCACCTCGTGCGCATGCACGCCGCACATGCGCATGTGTGTCCCCCGCATGCGCCCCACCCACCCCACACATGTGCGTCAGAGACCCAAAAACCAGCTGGCCAGTGGGGGGGGCGCGTGTGCATGCACGATGGAGCTGGGCTGGGCCGACGGCTGGCGTGCCCGCAGAGAGGACTCTGCGTGCCACCTGAGGCCCACGCGCCATAGGTTCTCCATCACGGACCTAGGAAGAAAAAGTCGGGGCAGCGTTTCGGTTTCAATGCATTTCCAGAAAACCGTACATGGGTTGCAAGTCACAAAGGAAAGCTGAAGGAATCGGCTTGTGAAACGTTTGCCGTCCGGATCCGCTGACGGTTCCGTTCCCCGCGAAATCAGAATCCAGGTGATGTAGTATGCTGGGAACGGTTGTTTACAAATTAATCATGGTGGAAAGAACCAAGAGATACGTGGAGGGATTATGGTGAGAAGATTTTCCTGTCCGTTTCCACTGAGGTCAGCTCAGCTGAGGAGAGCTGCGCGTCAGGCCGCCCTCATTGAAGCCCTTAGAAAGTCATCTGAAGAAAACCCTGTTTGGAAAAAGGCCGTCCCATCCTCTTCCTCCTCGGCTAGGACATTTGTTCGGTGGGTCTCATCTGAATATCGCCGATCTGGAAGGACAGAAAAGGGAGTTTGGTCACGGCCACGGAGTGAAATTGAGTGGAATGCAGGTAGTCCTCAACTTACGAACTGTGAGAAGAGACTTATATCCATTGGAAAGTTGTGGGGAATAAGGCCTAGGAGTGAGCTTGCAGGCCTCCCTGAACCAAAGTTGTAAACTAACATAATTGCAAAATGTACCAGACATATTTCTTATTTGCTGACTTGTAAATAGCTGATAAAG